TCTGCTGCAACTCTTACTTCTTTGATGATCTTCTACTGCATAACTTAAACGGAAATTAAATACAAATGCATCTTTGTGTTTTCTCAGAAGTGTGGCATTGCAGTTTGTGTGATGGTAAGTGTAGGCTACAGGAAAAGTCCTGCTGGAAGGTTATTGATCTGTAAGTGAAACACGGGTCTGACCTCGCCTGCGTCCCACGTCCAGTTTCGCTGCTTGTGTACGTGTGTTTACACTGACACTACAGCTGTTCAAGCCGATGAAGTTATGCCTGTGTGTGACGGGTGTGTGCACGCGTGCATCCAAATGAAGGATTATGTGTTTGGACACCGTGGTTTGACTGGAAGCCGAGTTGTGAATCAGCTCAGCCGTTGAATTACGTAGTGGGGGACTGGGAAGCATGATGGGAAGCCAAAATCACAGTGGAATGGACGAGTGGTAGCCTGTGAGGAGCCAGATGAATAGCAGTGGGCTGTCTTAGCCATTGAGCATCCTAACAAAATGCTCTTTGTCAAAGAAAAAAATACAGAAAATTAGTTGCATAAAATATTATTAGGATGGGAGTAATGGAAATGAGAGAAAAAGTGCAAGGCAAAGAGGCTTAGGTGAAGGATCTTTCCCGAATACCTGTTACTTTCAGTGCCCGTGAGAAAGCCGTTGGGAATGGAAAGCAGGATCTAGTATGAGCGCTGGAGCAAACCACGGTTTTGGTTGGTTGGCAGTGCGGTTTCTCAGAGTGGGTACAGGGCTCTTCTGCCAAGTGGGATTTGTTAATCCCATCCGGAATTCTGTGCAGCAAAATTCCATTGTACAACAGTGCAGGAACTACTGGAATTGCACAGTAAGCACCAGGACTGTATTAAAGAAATTATAACTATTCCAGTTAACGTACTAGTGAAATGTAAGGTGTTAAAGATGTGGGTCCGATAGGCAGCAAACCCGTGTACCTGTTATGTTTTGCTCGGTTACTGCGTAAGCGTTCTGGTTGTAGTTATGTACTTGCAGGTCGTTAACACAATTAGAGCTGCCTAATTGAATTGTTAAGCAATGAACTTTCCTACAATTAAGTAAATACTGGCTTGGTGGTTTTGAGATAGTTTCCGGCTCCCATGTTTAAATTTAAAACTCAAAATGATCTTCTTGCACAAACATTTACAGACAGGGTGAAAAACCCCCAGATGGATGATTTTATTAAAGAACTTTCCATTAAAGTATTTGTATGAGTGGATAAAGCTCGTCCTTGCAAAATTAACGTTTTCTGTTCAGTATGAATCTTGGAGTATTTTATGAAACGTGGCTTCCTGCTGTGTTGGTTCAAAAAAACCCCACAATTTTAAAAATCAAAATATATCAGTCATCTCTGAGCAGGATGAGGTCTACCTAGGGCTTAGTTAAGCAATACATAAAATCTTGTAAGGAGGTGATCTACAATGGAAGTAGAGTGACACTGTCTCTTAAATATTTTCATTATAGTTTCTGGTACTTGGGCAGCTTGAAAGCCCTAGAGTATTGAATGTTACTACGTTAGATGTTAACGTGTTTTATGTTACCTTGTAGCATAAAAGTAATTGTCAGAGCAATAAATAGTGTAGAAAAATTATAACAGACGTCATACTTTAGAGATTTCATTCCATGTGTTTTTGCGGCACAGCAAAAGAGAAAATGTTAAAATTGTTTACAGGAATACTGCATGTAACAAGTATTTCTTCAAATACGTTGTCCTAAAAGCCCTTTATGGCAGTCCTGTTCTCCAAGGTGTTTCAAATAAAAAAAAAAAAAAGGAAGAAAAGTAGGACTGATGCTGAATCTTAGTATGACATTAGTATGTTTGGGACATTTTAGGGTTTTTCGTAGCAGCACGTACTTGCACTTGTCACAAGTGCTGCAAAAGTGTCGTTGATAGATAGCCCCAGGTTTTTTTCCCAGTTCCTCAAAGGATGCATGGTAGCTAGTGATACATTTACCTGCCAGTGGTCTCTTAATCTGTAGGAAGACCCATAAATACGTTAGTCTCTGATCCTTTGTGTTCCACTTTGGGCTTTCAGGACAGAAGTATTGACGTTAGTAGTGTCTCAGTATCACTGACACTGAATGCATTAAAAAAGTAATGGTTAAAAAAAAAAAAAAGATGAGTGCTTTTATGCCAAAAATCCCATAAAATTATTTTAGTTCTTTTTACTTGCCTTTTGCCTCTTACATTTATAAGAATCCTTTCCCTGCAGCTGGAAAAGCTAGAAATGAATCTATGATACGGCTGCTTCTGATGCAAGTTGGGATCCTCTTGAAACCACGCAATGGTTTTCCTGGTGGGTGTTGCTGTTACCTGAAGATAACACCCCAAGGTCTTGTTGTTTGTAGGGGCGCTTTCAGGGGCCTTATTTTGCACTGTGAGGTGGTGTTTAAATCCTTTGAAGAAATCAACCTGCTGTTTTGCGGTTAAAAAAATAATTCCAGGCTCGTGTGTGTGTCAGTATAAATTATAGATGATGGATCTTGAAAAACAATGGAGAGAGATCCTTTATTTATATGGGAACTTTAATTTGCAGGGGTGCGTTTTCAAGGGTGTGGTGGCTGTAACAGTTCTCAGCGACACAGGTGCTCAAAAGGAAGGGTTGGGAAATGTAGGCGGTTTTGCTGTGATAGGACTTTTACGGTTGCAGAATCTGTAATCTCGGTTCAAAAGGTGCTTTTTACACATACACTTTCTTGGAGACAAAAGAGCCTTTGGAAATCCTTTGGAATTCGTAGCAAATCTGCAGGTGGGCCATGAACACGCACAAGAATACGAAGGTGTGAATGATCCGCCTCTGCTTCCTGACGGCATTTGTGTTCCAGCACGTTGAAGTACGCCTTCTTGAACGGCCACTGGCATGAGATACGTAATCAAGGTGGGTTTTTGTCTTTCTTTCAGAGGGTTCGCAGAGTTCGGTTTCGGCCTCTAACGAGATCCAGCAGAACCAGCCACAGGCACTACACTATGCACTAGCCAATGCTCAGCAGGTTCAGATCCACCAAATAGGAGAAGATGGACAAGTCCAAGTAGTATGTACTCCGCTTTTTCTAAATTATTTCATTTAAACGATTATTGCAAACTTTGCTTCAGTTGAATTAATTAGTTAGTAATTTAATTTTTCATTTTCAGAAAGCGACCTATCATCACTTCTTAAGCACGGTTTTCAGACAATAAACATTGAAGGCTTATGAAAAAAATTGTAGTTATTTGGCAAAAATCTTTGTGCAGGATTTGCTGGCACAATTGTTGCAAATAAATGCACGTTCGTTGCTGTGTGTAGAACTGACTGGTCTCTACTCGGCCATTTGCTTGCACTTGCCGTAATAATAATAATAGCAGCCCTACGAAGCGTATGATTTACACTTCAGAGGTAGTTCCAGCTATGATTTTCAAAACAAGAATGCAGTTATTTACATTTAAATAACCCTGCGTTCTCAGGCGTTGTTGAACATCTGTTAGCCGAATGCTTTACATGTGTGTTCATTTAGATACGTGGATGTAAGTAAAAGTTGTAAATATTGACATTTTTTAAGCCTGAGGCTCCTACCATAACTCAGGCCGTGATTATTTTTCTATGTGGTTTTAGTGTACTCTGAAAAAACCCACCTTGGCTTTAGTTCCTGTGTGCCATGGTTTGACTACAAGGATAGTTTTAAATTCAAATTTTACAAAAAAGTAGAAGGAACTAATGGATTCTGTGGCGCTTCTGACCTGCAGCGTTCAGAAATAGTGAGTTACCTCCGCACGCTCATCCTTTTGCAGTAGAAACCTGAGAATTTCATGTGTGAAATCTGTCTGCTGTTAGTTTTCAAAAGCTTCTTCAGGCGTTTCTGCACAGTCAGACAACGTAGGAACTCTTTCACTGATGGTATTAGTGTTCTGAAGGTACCCAGAAGTCTGAGTATGGGCCAGCCCTCAGCGGTGCCGGGCAGCGTCCAAGCACAGGACAGAAGGAAACGTGCACAGGGACGTACGTTCTGCACCATGATCTCGGAAGACCACTTTCCTGAGCAACCAGGCTGAAGAAAGAGGTGGAAATGGGCAAATAAACAAGAATTTTCGGGAGAGATTAGTCAACTACATAAACTAGTACTCAAGGGTCTGGATTGTTGCAAAGGTTCTAGTCAACGCCGTTGCAAAGAGTCTGAAGTAGGACACTGAAGCATCTTGGGTAGATATTTGTAGCGTTCTCTCCTCAAGCAAGAGAGGCAGTGGGGGAGAGAAGGAGCACGTGTGCCCAGTTGAATAGTTTACATGTAAAGAATGAAAACTCTGTATCAACACGGGGAATACTCAAGTCTGGTCATGTAGAGCTGCAAACAGCGTGGAAATGGTGAAGTTGCTCAGGAACATGACGAAGGAAAGAGGGCTATGAAGGAGAGATGCTTTTGGAATGTTACCAAAAAAGACATGTTTGTGCGACCTGCCGAAGGTTTACCAGAGGAGAAGAATCAGAGGAGAAAAGTGTCATGGAAACTGGGGGCAATGTCAAGATATGCAGCACAGTGTTAAAGGCACTGACAGGGCTGCAAGCATTGCTTAAAAGGAGGACTTAAATATTAGCCAGAATATTTTTTTAAGGAGTGCATGGAAGTGGAAGGGGTTTGGGATGAAAGCAATGGAGAGGAACTCCAGGCAGCAAGAGCTGTGGAGAGGAAATTGCAGTAGAGAGCACGTGTTTCCAAAGTGGAAAAGGTGGCTTCTAAAGAAAGAGAAAAGAAAGAGCTGGAGTGTGGGTGCGAGGGATGCCAGGAACCAGTAGCTGTGAGATTGAGATAGGGTTGGAAGGTCCAGGCCACCCATTTTGTTTTCCCAAAGGCCTTGCCCTTTCCTGTTACGTACCTGGATACCATCTGACTTAAATGGAAGTTGAGGAGCAAATCCTGCAGGGTCATTGCTGAAGGCAACTAGATCCTAAATGCCCTGAGTTACTATTCTCAGACTTTGAAGAGGACTAAAGAGAAATTCAATAAATTAACTTGCAGACTTTTTTCCCCCTCCTGTCAGTTGGGAGCATCCCCAGTGAAATAATGCTCGTTCTGCAGGAGCTGGGTGCAGAGGTTCTGTTTCCATGTCAACTTTTGCCATAACTTGACAGTATTATTGTGTGAATTTCTTTGTTTCTTGGTTTCCCTATATATTTTAAAGAGCATATTTTCTCAACTGCTTTATGGATCTTTGTGTGAGATTTAATTGATGACTGAAAAGTATTTTTAAAGTCTTGAAAGACAAGGTAGACAGGAAAATGATATGAAATACCTGGGTGCAATAGACAAAACTGTTATGTTTATAGATGTAAGTGATGAAAGCTTGCCTCGTTAAAATATTGGGACCTGTCAGCTATCCTTTAAATTGATTGTGGAATCTGGGAAAAATCCACTACGACCCATAACGACTGTCTAAATGTTGTCATCATTTGTCAAACGTGTAGAGGGGTCCTAGGTTGAAACAGATGAAAATGGTATGGCTTTTCCAGTTCTAGGGAGTGATACGTATAGGTTAGGCTAGGAGTCATTAGTAAGGTCGTAGTTATTTATACTACATCTGTTTAAAAAAAAAACCCCAAAACAGTATTGAATTGAACTTGTGAAGAAACGAAAAGGACTGTCCTTGAAGGCCAGCTATGTGTCTGCAAAAGATGAGTGAGCAGTTCTTTTTTGAAATGCTGCATGATATAGAGGTGACTAAAGTCACCTTCTCCCCCCTCCCTTTAGCCAGAAGGGATTGCCAATATTGGAAAACACTGTAAATGGATCTTTTAAATGCTCAGTGCTTTTTCCTGGGAGCCCTGAGAGTTTGATGTTAAGGAGGGAAAGTGATTCTGATCTCAACGTGGACTGGGCTGTGCTATAATTTTATATACAGGCCCTATTGTCAGAGTGATACTTGCAGTATGTTTTTTTTCTCCCTATAAATAGACAGTTTCCTCCCAAAGGAAATGAAACTGTTTGAAATAGAGGGATCTGTGTTTCTTTGAAAATCACATGCGATTGTTCTTGGGTTATAAAATAAGAAGAGCCTTTGACAGAATTCCAAATGATTATCTTTAATCTCTGTCTCATGCAGGCATATTAAAATGAACACAAAGCCTTATAAACCCTGAAGTAGGTTATTTAGAATACGATCTCCCTTCAGGTAAATCACAGGAGCAAAGACTTCGCTGGGCTAGTCAGGATGCACAAGGAATTCTGTCCACTCTTATCCATGCTTTGATCAAACGGTGGGTTTGATACCATTCTGGAGCGGTGGGTATGGTCAGCATACAAAGTGTAAACGCTACTAAAACAGTTAGGGCAGATTCTCCACTAACATAAACCAGGGTAACTGCATTCAAATTAATGACTTCGTGCCAATTTGAAGCAGCTTGGGAGATAGCCTTGAGCATGGTACTGTACTTCACCGTAACTGTGTGGATGTACGAAGATAAAGGGATATTTACAGAGCCTCACTCTTGGAGGGTAGTTAGTTTTGGTGTATCTGTTTTAAGAACTGAGTTTCCAAGGTGTTTAAATGAGATTAATGTTTCAGGCACAATGCTAATCTGCCAAAGCAAGTTAGTCCCCCGTTTTGCCTGTCAGTCAAAAATGCAGATACTTTATCTATAGAGAAATGCACTACATAAATGTTACTTATTTTTATGCCTATTTTCTTTTCTCCTGTGTGAAAATGAACCATTCTTCAAAGTCACTCTGCTTACACTTTGCATAAAAAGATGTAGAAGTACAGATGCACTTTATTTATTTTTTTTTTTTAAAGCTATCTTTAGTGGTTGTCGTTGAATAAGCACTGTGCTTCCATCCGTTAAGCTGTATTGACTCCAAGGTGATAGCTTCTTCCTCTGGCTATGATTTTCTTCTGATGCTCCTTGGTGTTTTCTTTTGTTGCGGATCCCACAGGGCCATCTCCACATAGCCCAGGTTCCTCAAGGCGAGCAAGTCCAAATCACGCAGGACAGCGAGGTGAGCCAAAAGTTTGGGTGCCCGTGGAGCAGATGTTGGCCAGAACTTAGGGCCCCGATTCTAAAACCATACCTCTGCGGAGTCCAGCAGCGAGTGAGAAGTGAGAGCGTGTGGTGGAGCCAGGCTGAAACGTGCTTTGTGGCAGTAAATGTGATATTCTGCTTCTGTCTCTGGGGTTCTTTTGGGGTTTCTTTTTGGTTGGTTGGTTTGGTTTTGTTTTTCCTAACGAGCCAAGGCAGCTCTGTGTGTGCGTTACACCAGCGATTGCTGTGTATGGCTGGTGGTCTTCTCTGGAGGTTTAGTACTTATGGAGTATTCTAGGAAACCAGCTTGGGCCCTTGCACTGCCATTGAGAAATGAAATTATTTTAGTTAGGTTTATGAACTGTATGTATTCAGAATCCTCACTGTCTTTAATTGTGGGAACTGTTGAACAGGAGTTGGAGAAACCTTCAGACGCCATCTAGTAAACATATATTGCAGAATGAAGTGAACTTACCTTCGTTACTGATCAAGTAATCTGGCACTGCAGTGTTTGCACTTCATAATTCTTTCCATAAAAATAGTACAGTAGAATGGAAATGGATAAATCCAGGACTGAACACTCCAATTCTGATTTTTTTTTTTTTTTCCCCACTGGGGCGAAACAGCTATTAAAGCCTGCTGAATTTAGTTAAGTGAGAGTGCTGTCGTTGGTTATTTAAGGATATATAGAGACCCCTGACTGCTGAGGCTGCTGTTAGATTTCTTGTGCGCTTCGTTTGTTTACATGAAGAAGCAATAGCAAAATAAGGTTAAACGTAAATGCAGACTCCAGTTTTAATCTGTATGGTTTCCCCGTGGAGTGTTTGTACTCACTGTTAAGCATATCTGCTTGTGGGTTAGTTTAATCTTTTTCCAAAGTATCCTAAATCACATCTCATAAAACCACTTCTGGTGCGGAGGAATACTGTTAACACAGGGAGCTATCGTAGAATAAATATTATCATAAATATTATAGTTAAAGGCAGTCTCCTTTGAAGAGCTTGTCAGCCCTAGAGAGAAATAAGAAAGGGTGGGTTGTGGGTCTAAAGGAATGCACAGTGGGCTGCGATAAAACTGAAGCAGTTCCTGGGTAAAGACCCACTGAAAAAATTATGATTCAGCAAATACTGGTTGTAATTGAGCCTGGGGTTCAGGCACACCCCGGTGTCCATTGGCTTCATCTGAAGTTCCCGTATGTAAGACTTTAAGGACCACATTTGTCCGTGACAGATGAAAACATCTGGTTTGAAATTTATTACAACGTACACAGCTTCCAATAAGAGGAGGTGCTGCCAGTAAGAGAAAATGCAGAAAACATGCAAATCAAAAATAGGTATTTTTTTTTTCCTCAAAGCAATATGGTGTTTCACTGCAAGTCTCTGTGTTTGGGAAGCTGTTTTTTTCTTAGTCTAAATGCTCTTTTGAAGAGGTGTCTCTGAGCATATGAGTAAAAACTGCATTTTGTGGAGCTACTGCTTTCCTTTTTAGACTTTGTAGCTAGTTTCCTTTAAAATAATTTATATTATTGAGACTTTTCTGTATTGGATGTAATTCCTGTAATAGAACTATGTTGGTCTTTGGTATCACATTTTGATAAAATAAAAATAAAAAAATCTGTTAGCACAGGCAGTAACTTTATAACAAAGAACAGTAAATAGCACCCCATACATGTAAAAGTGTTACACGAATTCTGGTTTTGACTTGAATTGTCAGTTTTATATAAATAAGGAAGGTTTTGACTTAAATTTTCAATTTTATATAAATAAGGAAGAACAAAAATCTTACCTCAAAAGCCATACAAGCAAACTGTGCCTAAAAATACTGTATGTTATACAGTAACTTTCAAAAAGCAGAACATGCTGGTGCTGAAAAACCTCCTCGCTTTTTAGTCTGTTCATCCTCTGTGGTTAAAGTGCTGACCGTTGAATCGTAGCTGGATTGCCAAAACAACCCTCAGCAGAATTCCCTAAATTAGTAGATTTCCTTAATAATGAAGTAGTTTAATAATGAGGTGAGAAACAGGCCTTTTTCAGGACAGAGCAACTCTTGCAATTCCAAAGTTGTGTTTACTGTCAATGCTCTTCTTTTACAGGGAAACCTGCAGATACATCAAGTTCACGTGGGTCAGGATGGGCAGGTAGGAACAGAACTGAGTTTTAAGCAGCTTTTGACTTTGGTCTTTAAAGTTAACGTTGCAGTTGGAAAGAGCTCACATGATGAGGGGCTGTTTTTCAAAGAGCAAAATCTGTTCTGGTCTTTCTGTTTAAATAAACAACTTGCAAAATGATAAAACGTAAGCTCGGTATTTTGTCTGTGGGCTCCAAGTATTTAACAAGCTTATTTCATTAATCCTGCAAGATATTTTATCCCTGTGTTTTATACCTCCTTGTCTTTGGCCTTGCTCTTCATTTACTAACTGGATTGATGATGTTGTGTACAGTATGTTCTTTTCTCTGTTATCGACAGTCGCTATGGCCAGATGTGGACTGCAGTCCCTGCAAGCCTACGAACATTTATTGCTGAACTTGAAGCAGCTATTTTCGCATTATATGGCTGTCTTGGGAGAAACAGATCTTTCACATCTGCTTTTGTTCTTTTTGATAAGATAGCTTTATTAGGTGCTTATGCATGCATGAGGTAAGAAAAAGCAGCTTTTACTTTGAGTGATGAGTCAGTAAGTGACCAAATGAGCAGAATTTCCGTGTCAGGTGTCAGCAAAATTGCTAACGTTTGATCTCAGACACGCTTCATGAAATGTTCACTGAAATATCCACAGCACAAAAGTACTCCTGTAAGAAGCTTTCTAGCCAGGCCACTTGAATAAATGTGTTACGATATTTTTCGTATTCCTGTTGAATATTAGTAAGTTGTGAGAGACGTGGCTACAGCTGAAATGCTGCCCTGAATTGAAAAGGCTCGCGCCATGAAGGTCCTTGAACTCAGAGGCCAACTTGAGAAGCTACCAGTGCTCTGAACTTTTGACCACATACGGTATTTGTGTGGGGAAGCAATCTAACTTGTATTTAAAAAATATAAAAAACCCAAACCAACTTCAAGGGTTCTTTACTGAGACTTCAAGCAGAAGTACTTTAGCAGAAGTGAGACTCAGAAAGGTGACTTTTTGGAAACATGTCATAACCTTTGTTTTAGTACTTGCTCTTCTTTTTTCCCCCTCTTTGTGAAATACTGCTGTCCAAATGACTTCATCTTAAAAGACTGGTATTGGGTAGTGAGATGTCTTTTGGAGAGTGGGATGTAGATAAAGTTACCTTTTTTTTTTTTAATTATATCTTAAATAATACCAAAGAATGTAATTTAAAACGTTGCTGCAATTCATGCTGGTTTTAAGGGAAATGCTTGAATGACCATATTTTCCTGAACCCGCTATGTTAGGCAGGGAGAGGCGAGTCCTGTCATAGAACTGTAGCATTTGGCCATGTCTCACGCTAAAGTAGTCACGGAGTAAAAAACCCGTGACCTCTAGTAGTAAAAAACCTCTTGTAGTAAAACACTTCCAACCACTGAATGCCTCTAAGTGGAGTCTTGTTGATTGTCTGAGCAGTTGCCTTCGTACATGCGGAATAAGGCTGCGCTGGAAGAAAGATGTTCTGAAGTATGTGTGTGTAGATGTGTGTCTGTGCTTGTATGTGGATCCGTGGTGCACGTTTGTTGAAGTGTGTGAGAGCACTCACAGGACGGGGAGGAAAATCATAGTTTAATCTATTTGTTGTGTTGAAATCCGCATCAGCTTATCTATATAAAGGCATCTGTACTATTACATAGTAATATTTGTTGTATTTGGATAATCTTGGATCTGCTTAAGAGGTGGTGGCTGTACGTGTGTACGTAGGAAACCAGTTTAGCATCCCATTTTGGGGTTTTTTAGCTAACTGCACTCTGGCCCTGCCGTCAAACTTTCCTTGAAAACGAATGGTGAAGTGCTGGTTTGGGTTTTTTTTTTTTTCCTTCGTGCACTCAGCTGCATTTTGGTGCAAAAGAGGAACCGCTGTCTCAGGAGCGTTGACAGCCCGCCGTTGTCACGCTTCAGCTGGCACCTGTGCAAAGTCACGGGAGCCCTCCAGCTCCTCCAAATTATTTGCTGCTGAACTGTTTTCCAGCGGAGCAAAAAATAGGAGCAAGCAAATATTTAGGGGATTTTTATCTCCGCTCTGCGTTAGATGCCGAATCCTTCCTCAGCACTTTAAGCCACGTGGGCCTGTTTTGCGCTGAAGTGGATGAGTAGCACTCACATGATTCCTTGCAACAGCTCCGTGTGTGTGTGTGTGTTACACGAGGGGGTTGGGGGGAGATCTGTGGCTCAACTGCTTCTGCTCATCAGCTGATCTGTGTTAAGCGACCATTTTTTGAGCTATTAGCTCATAAAAGCTGCAAAGGAAAACGAGTTGAACTAAATTGTGTTTGTGGTTTAAGAATGGAAGTTGAAACTAATACATTTTCCTTGGCACTGGTAGTGGGATAAGAGCACAAAAACCTGTCATATGATACGGTTCAGTGGTAATGTAAGTCATAACAATCCGGTAGCTCGCAATCGTCTGTACATGACCTGTGATCAAAGGGACTTCTCTAGTTTTCCCACCTGTCCATTACTTTTCAGGAGAGTGGCTTTTTCTCCCGTGTTTTGAAGTCTAATGCACGCTGCCAAGGGACACTGAAGAATATTGATAATAAGGAAAGCAAATAATGTGGCACTTCTGTTATTGAATATTTTTAGCTGACTGATGCGTGCTTACTAATCGTATTAGATCTTAGCCTGGCTACTAAATATTCCCTTTGAAAACTCATCTCATGCTGCTGTTTTCCATATATTACTGTACACTTAACAGATGTCGGGTATTCTCTCTGCTCAGGTGGGGTTTAGCACTGCTGCCTGATGCAGGCTTTCCCTCTGAACCACAAGTCAAAGGTTTACAAGAAGCTGGGGTGGCAAAGCATGAAGTTGTTCGCTTCGTATGAACCAGAGCATAAAATGGCATAAATCTGCTGTGAAAAGATACATTTCAAGCTTCGTAATACTTGTAATAAATACTGGCTTCTCTGCAGAATGCTGCCAGTTGTTGGTTTTAACTTTATTTTCCTCCTCTTGAATTGTCTGTCCTGGTAGTTGCACTGAATTTAGATTTTGTTTTTCTGGCATCATTGTTCGTGGAACTAATGAAATCATGCCAAAAAGAACACTGTCTACCTACACATGTGTTCTATTAGCTGAAAGTTTCATGTTTCAGTGCACGTTTAATAAAAATACCAAACTGCAAAAATAATTAGACTTCATATTAACTAACGCTTGAAGTGGGAATTTTTCTGGACTTTGCATTTCATGCTTATGAATTACCAGAACTTTACTAATTTCTTTCTCTTCCCTCTGATTGCCTGCCCTCCTTTCTCCCTAGCTCCATCCTTTTCTTCCTTTGAGTGTCAGCGTTCTGCATCCCAGGAGGTGTTCAATGTGTGTCCTGCACAAGCTGACACAGTGCCACAGTGTTCGGAAATGGACGTGGGGTATAAAGAGGTAGAACAGGACCATTTCGGTTCCTCGATTCTGCATTTTAGACATTCCATTTTGTGCATCCTCACAGCCAGTGTTTCTCCAATTTAGGAATTAATTAAAAGTGACACCAGGCAAATGGTCGTCAACTAACAAGCTTTAGTTCTTAAATTAAAAAGTGGATGCGCTTTAAAGGCTAAAACATGATCATACGTGTTCCTGGAGAGCTGGCAATTTGTTCTGCTCAATGAGTGAAAAATTAATAAGAGGAGCAGCATTTAGTTCCCGTAGTATCAGTGTCTGTAGGCCAGTTAGAAGAAGCAGGAGACTCCAGAGCCAACAGCACGTGTAATAGGTTTAGCAGGAAAAAGCCAGCCGGTGTAAATTGCTTTTGTAGTATCAGTCTCCATACTGTGTGCGTCAACATGCAGAATTTCTTCTGCTACATCACATTTTTTGAAAGGAAACTTGGCGTCTTCTGTATAGTCGTTGACTCAGTCTCTTCCAGATCAGTTTGTAATCAGCGGCGCGCTGAGACCCGTCCGTAGCTGATGAGTTACATACACGCGGAGAGAGAGGAGGGTATCACATTAGTAACGTGGTTTTCTGCTGCTTAATGAGGTATTTTTACGGAGCAGGGGTTGCATTATCTTCTTCTGAACTTTAACTCTGACCTTGCTGCTACGAGCTTTATGGCAGCTCGGAGGTCTGGGGGAAGTTCAGGTAGGGGGCCGTGGAGGTGGCTCACCAAGTACGCTTCGGAAATCCTCCTCGTACGTGCGGTGATCGCGTGAGAGCGTACGAGTCCGCGATCAGAGAAGAGATCCTTGGAGAACTGCTGTAGTGCTGGAGAACACAGAGCAGACCTCCGAAGCAGGAGCTCGCTGCCGTAGGGCCGGGAAGGTTAAGAACGTGGCCGTGTGTGAGAAACAGATCAGTGAGAGTTCGGCTTGAACGGCCTCGCGGGGAGTGCGGATGCGATGCCTCGTTCCGGTCTGGTTTCAATACACGTCGCACGCCCTGTAGTGCAGCTCAGGAGGAGATAGGACCTCATCACCTGCGTTTGAAACGTCTTGTCCTGATTCTCTGCTGTGGTCTGAAGTGAAGGGCGAGCCGTTAAATCTTAGAGGAATGGAAAAGGGGGAGAAATGTGCCGGGGAAAAAAAAAACCACCCCACTATTCCAGTAATTCCACATAATATCCAGTGAATCTTACTTGTGCCTGGATCAAATTACAATGAAAATAGGTTGGTTTGTGGAGGAAATAATTTACAAACCTGTGCGACAGCCTTAATCCACCTCTTTTTGGCATCCAGTTTTTGTATCTCTCTCTACCTCCCTGGTCGCTGGTGAGATGTCACGCCTTGCTTCTCAGGGAGGGCACCACGTTTTGTTAAGGTCCACTTTAATCCATAACTCGAGCCTGATTTTCAGTTGCACAAACGAAGACGTGTTGCCGTATTAACTCGGCTTCTGCTCGCTTTGATACGTTTTGCAGATGGCACTTTTGGGAAAGAAACGGTTTAATGTTTTTTCCTCAGTATGCATTTAATTGTCTTTACTAAGCCTCTGGGATAGATACTGCCGTTTCTATCAATATTAACAACTTCAATAATAGTATATTATCCAAAACA